TTTGTCCCCACTACCTTTACATTCCCTCTTTTATCTTTTTGCTCGATGCTTGCGCCATGAAAAGAACATGCGCAGAATACAGAAGCAGGGTTGCCAGGTGAAAATTTTTGTCCTCCCTAAATTGAACATTAAAATATCCCTAGATTGGAATAAATGTATATATGGTTGCCTAATTCTGAATAAAATGATGGGATGTATTGATGGTTGCCTAATATAAAACGGTTGAGTTTACCGAAAGAACAAGCTGGTTATAGCCGCAAATGTTAAACATGGAACAAAAATATAAAGCTTTAGAAAAGTACATTTTGTTTATATTATGTGGTGCATTTTTCAATTTTGGTTTATATAAAACAACAATGAGTAAATTTAATATTTGTTTCTTTGGAGAATAATTGCAGTTAATTATTATAATTTTTTTAGCAATTAGCCTTTGGTAGATTAGTGGATAGATTTGGCAATCGTCAAATCAGCAGTTGCCAGATTACAACAGATGTTTGCAATTAATCTCGAAAGAGATCAATATCGACCCATTACTGCTTCATATAAATTAAAAATTGCAGAATTCATAAAATAGTATAATCAAAATGTACTTTTTAAAAGCTTTATCTCTTTATATTTGAAGCATACAATATATGCATTATAAAAACATGAAAACCCTGCCAAGCCGAAATAGTTTTGACATTTGCGGCTATATTCAGTACTTTCGATATTCTCAACCTAAAAAAATAATTGTTGTTTTATACCTTTATTATAAAAACGGTACGGTTATTTATTTTTAAACGGTACAATAGCGATGATTTAAATAAATTTAACAACAATGGAATAACGTACTTATTTATGGCTTTGAATATTCCATTTAATATATTATTAAGTATTATTCACTTAATAAAATTAATACAAAATACAACTTGAAGAGAAATTAGACGGTGAAGCATAGAATTTTATTGATATATTTCCACGAATCCTGGGATTCACCCGATTCCTACTGTAAATCCCCTAATTATTTTATAAAACCTAGGATTTTTGTAAATCCCCTAATCCCTGCTCCAGAATTTGCTTCTCCTTTATATGATAAAATACCGGTCATACGAAGTGGTTTAATACCTGAATTAAAGAAAATGTTATTATAATAGCCCTATGTAGGTAAATATTTGAGCTGTTCAAAAATCCCTAGATTTTACAATAAATATCAAAAAATCCCTTTGTCCCTTTTATACTGAAATATCCCTAGATTCGGGATAAATCCCTAGACCTGGCAGCCTTGTACAGAAGGCTGTACCACATTTGTAGAACCTTTTATATTCCACCAAAAAAAAGTTAGATAAAAAGGGAACCAAAAAAAACTTAATGATAACGACAAGGATTAAAACAGAATTTAAGTTTGACTATATAAAAAATGACCTTCTGTTCGTTGCAAGTAAATCAAGGAAATTTTATATTTAAATTATTTCGGAACTCAAAAATAAATCTCTAAAGAAATACTAAACTGCAATGATAAATTTGATTATATGATAAAGAGATAATACGTATGAAATTATTTACTTACATGGAGCCGCAGCACGCCAAAAAAAAATCTTCCTTTTTATGTGGAACTCTTATAAATGACTCTTGATTTTAAAAAATTTATTATTACTATTATTATTATTTTATTCTTCCCCCAGATTATCTTCCTTGCTCCAATTCCGTCACTTTGAAGGTGAAAAAATTTCACCGGTTGGCGTGCCTGCCTAGTGAGTCTCTTGACCAAACTAAACTTCTTCCGCACAACCTCGATCTTCCTTTCAAAGCGCTCCCAGCGCGTGAGTGGAGAAATGTCGATTTAAAAATCGACCGCTGGCGGAACACAAGAAATTTCTTGAGGGGGTTAATCAGTAGCGTAAACGCTACAAAGAGATCCTGCTGTTGATCTCTTCCCAACTCGATCCATAAATTATCTGCGTCAAAACCATGCCTCTAAACCAAAACCATGTGGATTTTCTTAAATCAAAACCATTTAAATTTTCTTAAATCCAAAACTAAGGTAGCTAGACTGTTGGAAGTTTCTGACCACGAAGATTTATTTTTGAGTACCTTGTTGGTTGCTGGTTTATTTTAAAAAGAAAGTAAATCGAATCGGATTCATAGAAGTAAATTATTTAGTAGTGGGGTTTCTGTTTCTTGTATGACAAACTAAGCGCAGGTATAACTACGAGGGGACTTAAGAAATTAATCGGTGAATTTATTTTTAGTAGGAAAATATTGAAATGAAATATAAGAATAAAAACAACGGAAAAAGAAATTATTATCAACGAGAATCAAATAGTACGAGCAGAAAATAATGGAAAGTACTTTGAAATTAACAAGAACAAAAATGTAGTGTTTTAAACGTTACACCGTCTGTATTAACAAATCATACTATTGCAGAGAACTGGCTAAAATTGGTAACATCAGTTGTTTCATCTAAAATAATTACAATGAAGCTTGTTTGTTTAATTTCATCAATTATCTTGTTTGAAATTACTGTCGAAATAGCAAAAATCAAATAATTCTGAATTCGATTTGAGGTGCCTTGACACACTTTGGACTGTTCTAAATAAGTTTTTAAACAAGGATCATACTTAGAAATTAGAGAAACAAGATTCATGTAATTGCCCCTATTTGCTGATTTACTGGTTTCGTCGTGACCTCGGAACCCAAGTTCATGAAAACATAAAAAACACATAGCGTCAATAAGTCTTTTCATCACGTCTCTATTTTTATCAACTAATTCATTATCTCACTTTTAATGAATTATCCAAAGTGTGTTCTATTCTATTTTTTCCAAAAACTTTCGTTTCACTACCTTATGAAAATTGTTTAAGTCACCAAAACCACTATGTTTCCAAACACCATTTCAATTCACAAAGAGCAACAACACCAGCAAACGAGTTTATTCCTAAATTCACAACCAGTTAGCCACTCGTATTGTTTGTAAAATTTTTCGAATTATAATGTCTGATGTAAGTTTTTATTTTGTAGTGAGATTTTTCATTTCAGGCTTCGACCTACCTTTAATTAGAAAAAAAACCAGTAATACCTCAGCTTCTTTTATCAGTTATTTTATTATTTTTATTAATAATAATAGTAATTTTTATTATTATTTTAGGTCAGAATGTTTTCATATTAAAAATAAAACAAAATACAAGATAAGAACAGTTGATTTAAAAATATTAAAACTATTGATCGAAGAAAGCTGTAATATTATCGTTTTCCCTATGTAAATGTAAATATAATATAGTACCTGTATTAATTATGTCCAATTTTTCACCAAAATTCAACAAACTAAAGCGTTTCCCAATGACAAACATACTCCACATTTACACACTGCACCTGATTCCACAAAATCAGTCCACGAAGACGCCATTGTCAAACGCTGTAGTAAATATCCAAATTTAAATTCGCCAAAACTTCGTAATCAATTGCCACAGTTGCTTATAAAGCGACAAATACGGTCAACTTACCCGTCGCTTCTCAGTGCATATCCCGGGTTATTTTTACACAAGGCAGGAGAAGCAACCCTGAACGTAGATTATTTCGAAATAACTCCTACTACCAACGTAGAATTACGAACAGGAAAGCTAAAGATATGCGCAGGATCGGAACGAACTCGCTGCTCGTTCTACATAATTCTTGTGTGCAGCTTAAATGGCTGCTTATATATGTGTTTGTTTAAATTACTTTTTGTTAAATATTCTCAGTTACTCAGCTAGTACGCTATTACTTCGGAAACCTAGGGAAGCAATGCTTTCCTTGCTTCCATACACCGCACTCCCCTGGTTCAGAAAGGAAATGTCCCTGGTACATCGTGACAGCGGAAAAGAATTCTTCCATGTTAAACTGGAGGTGCGTTGATCACGACTTCTTGTACAGTTCTGTCCCAGTTCTCTCGGTATCAACAAAACCCTCTTACCAACATTCGGGTAAATCTTCTTAGGTGGCCTGGGGGTATTTCGAACGAAAGACCATAATAAATTAAAAATTTTTTATTTGGTATGCATCCTTATTTTGAAATGGCATAAATTAGATAAAAGTCTCAAATAGTTGATCTTTTAAAAGCGTTTTGGGCTTCCAAGATAATTAACGGCTTTAATTTAATAATTAAAGTGTGGGTTTTGAACTTTACAGCGAGGAATTTAAAAATATAAAAGTAGGTTTTAAATGAAAGAACTACATAAAATATATAACTAAATAGGTCAAATTATAATAAAATAATAGGAATGTTCAAAATAAAATATTATTGTAAATACTAAATACTTTTCCAAACAGAAAGAGAGAATGGTGGAAAAGCTGTGTTTTATACTTAATTACGATCCTTCGTTTCCTTACATTATAAATGCTTTATGCTTGCCGCATCTCCTATTCTACTGCCAAATTTGCACTGTTCATTTCCAGTCTCTCGTTCCCTGTCAACACTCTCGCAATTACAAAATCCTCGAGGTTGGTCTTTTACATTATTGGTGGCACTATAGCCCTTAAAGGATATCGATCTTCTCTGGTTTGCGGTACCACACTCTTTTGTTCTGTGTTTCAGTTTTCCAGTTAGTATCCAATCTCTGCATTTGACGTTACCCTGTCTATCCACCTGAACTTTGGTCTATCCTGATCACACTTGATTCTAGTGCCCAGGTTATATGTTTGCTAATTGTAGACGGATTTGTACTTCCCACAAAATTTGCACACAACTTGTATATGGTTCATTTGTGGGAACAGGGTCTATCACCTTCCTGTAAAGTCTTAATATCTTGTTCTTTGAGGTAACCGATTATTAACTAGATATTTTGATATGCCTTACTAACACTTGTATCCTAGTATGATAAATCTTTTTATTTCTTGTAATATGTTGTTTTTGGGATCGGCCCGTGTGTTCAGGTAGATTAGCTCAACATTTGTCTTTTTTACACATAATAACGGTATTAGTAATTACTTAAAAATACGTCTGGTATCTATCACATTATCTATAACTAACTTTTTATTATTTATAGGTACCGAATACTTCAACAAAAAGCCAAAAAAGGGTATAGAATTTCTTCAAGAACACGGAGTACTAAAACAGGATATTGATTTGGATGAGATTGCTAGATTTTTAAGAGAAAATCCAGTTCTGAACAAGGCTATGATTGGTGAATATATAAGTAATCGAAGTAATTTGAAAATTCTGCAATCTTTTGTTGATACTTTTAATTTTACCGGGGTGCGTATCGATGAAGCTTTGAGAGCTTTCCTAGAGACTTTTAGGTTACCAGGTGAGTTCTTAGTAATATTAACTATAACATAGGTACGTATTATTAATAATACGTACCTATTAATGGGTACGTACGTTGAACTTGTCTTACATCAAAAATCAAACAGTCATCAATATACGGAGATAATCATGAGTTAACAAATTTAAACTTATGGAAATTTTTTAAATGTACAATTGTTGCGTTTATGCGAGATTATATAACAAATGCAGAAAAACTACAAAAATCCTGTAGTAAATGATAAGTTATTAAGAACCTTTTATAGTACACACTATAGAATAGATATTTAGCCCGTTATCTGAAGACATTTTTTATAGTGCACACCATAAATACTTAGCCAGTCTAAACTGCGTCTCTTTTAAATTTAATATAAACGTGTTTAGTAGACCATTTCTTATTGAAAATCGCTAAATTTACCAAAGTTGGAATGTTCACAGAAACTGGCTGTGCATATTAGTACAGTGTAATAGTATACCTCCGACTAATGTTGGGAGTCAATTATTTTGGCCTTCGACTAGCTCTAGTCTCTCAGGTTAAGGTAGTGTTATCTTAAACGTAGATCTTAACAAAGAGAAAGGGCAGAGACAAATAAAATATACTAACTAATCGTATTTATTATACATTAAAAATTAATTTTAATATTAATAAAAAAAATAAATCTTGCCTAAAGCTGTACAAAATGTTAAAATAATACGTATGCCGAAATGTATGGTTGGCTTCATGTAGTTGGATAACTTGTTGGCTTCCTGCAGTTTATTGTAGTGTTAACTGCCGTTGTAGTGGAACGTAGATCAATTAGTATGAATTTATTAGTTCCCCACCATTATGAATGTAGTTCCCCATAGCATCAGTTATGCCATGTCCCATGTGTGTTCCCTTTGTGGCGCACCACGTGATTCAGGAAGTCCCACCCAAATAGGAGGAAAATAATAATTGCCAATAAGGCTAAACAACTAAAATAAAAAAGCTTTTGTTAGCAACAGCATAAATTTTAAACATATACAATTAATACGGTTGAAAAGAAACGTGGCTTGGAGGTTATGTCAAAAGAATATTATATTAAAACAATATCAACATGTACTCACTCCAAAAGAGATGTACCTAAGAATATAAATGAGTTTATGAACAAAAATTACAATTTAAATTTTCTTTCTTTCCATTATTTTGAACTGAAACTGACAGGCGGAAGTCAAGAGTTGTCAATTGACAAATATCTTGTATCGACTTGGACAATGTCATAGACATGTCTATGAAATGTCTATGGAATTGATACAAAGATTTGACAAAATGTTTAGTTGATAGAAAGTTGAGCGTTAACTGTTTTTAGAAGAAAAATAGTAAAACAAAACAACTGATTAAAATTGACAGAAATTGGAATAAAATAATTATTTGAAGAAAAATAACAAACATGTGACGTTAATAAAGTTACGACAGTTAAGGATCTTCGACAATTAAAAATATGCAAACAAAATTTTTTTCCTATCCTTTTTTGTGTATTAATGCAGTAAAATATGTATATATATATATATATATATATATATATAATATATATATATATATATATATATATATATATATATATATATAATATATATATATATATATATAGTAAACAAGAGTTTACTATTTAACTTATCTGCAAAGATTAAATTTCTTTTCTATATATATATATATATATATATATATATATATATATATATATATATATATATAATATATATATATATATATACTCACTTTTAAGTTATATGTGCCCAGTCTGAAGCTACTGTAGTTGTAGTTTGTGATGTACTAGTTTAATATTATTTTGTTGTTATAGACTATCAATACCTTTAGTTTTTATGTTTGTACATGAATATATTTTTGTAGGTGAGGCACCCACAATCTCCCTGATCTTAGAACATTTCGCCGAAACGTGGCACAAGGCCAACAACGAACCATTTGCAGATGTGGATTCGGCCTTCACTTTAGCCTATGCGATAATTATGCTCAACGTTGACCAACATAACGAAAATGCCAAAAAACAAACGACCCCCATGTCGGCTAATGCTTTCAAGAAAAATTTGAAAGGCGTTAACGGAGGTAATGACTTTGACGAAGAAATGTTAGATGATATATATACAACAATAAAAAACGAAGAAATAGTTATGCCAGCCGAACAAGCCGGGTTAGTTAGGGAAAATTATTTCTGGAAGATCCTGTTGAGGAAGGGACAGACAAAAGATGGCTTGTACATACATGATAATAGTGGTACTTACGATTCTGAGCTTTTCCAGATTGTGTATGGACCTATAGTAGCAGCTCTGTCTTCTGTTTACGAGAAGGCTGAAAACGAAAGTGTACATAAGAAGGTCATGCAAGGTTTGTTACTTTAGATCTTTTTATGTTTAAGTTAAATTTATTTCATTGAAATATTTTGACTCTATTTCTGACAATATTTTAAAAAATTGACAGTTTAACTCTTCCAGTACTCTACTCTTGAAGACTTTTGCCAAATCCTTATTCATTAACTTCCATTACTTTATTTTCTTATGTTCTACGTGCTTTCCTTTCCGCCTTATCTTTGTCTTTAATTCCGAAAATTATAGCGGTAACGATTGTTACTTAATATATTGGTTTAAAGAGATTCATACCTATGTCTAAAATTTTTATATTAAATATTACGCTTATATTGGTTTTTAGCCACAATTGATTGTAATGTTAATTACATTATTAATACCGTTTGACGTTTCGATTTCCACTCCAAAAATCGTTTTTAAAAAAGATATTTAAAAAATGGTGCGAAAAGTATAAGAAAACAGTCAAGTAATTAAGTTGGATTATGTTTTTCAAACATGTTGACTCACTTGGCCTCGATCTTGTAGGCAATAGCCTTGTTTTGGTTGGCAGAAAATCTGAGGGTGGGGTTTTGCCTTCGGAAATATCAAATTTTAACTGATTTGTGTGTTTTATTGTTTTATTTATTTATATAATGTGTGTTTAACGTAGATTATTGGTTATGTATTGTGTGTTGCATATGTAATGTGTATAATTGTAGATTTTCATTAAGGAGGATGAGAGCTGCTTCTTTCATTTTTCTCTTTTTTCTGTCTGTTTCTTTCATGATTATTAATGCATCATTCCACTGTACTCTGTGATCGTTATCCTAGGCATGTTTGTATATCTGAGATTTGTCAGTATTTCAAATCACGATTGATTCGTTCGTTTTGATTCAATCACTTCAAAGTATTGAAGGATTGAAATGTTCCTAAGTCTTGCTAGTTCAGAACGATCCGATCGTCCGGTGACAAAAATTAATTGATCGATCGCCGACGGCGCCGATCTAAAGAAAACAAAATTCCACATAGTCAGTTGTCAGAGAGTTGACCCCTAAAAATCATACTAATAAGCTGAATATTGCAGAGAATATTCATTTTGGAAGTCCAAATAAGATGCAACCACTTTTACCCCTGGGCTTCCCTCTAAAAGCACACTCGCAGGGGGGTAAAAACACAAAAAAAATCGATTTACCAAGAATCTGCATACCTTAGAAAAAAAATGTTTCAAATAAAAAATGTAGCTAAGATAATTTTAAACAAAAATGTTTATAAGCATTTTTTGTGAAGCATGAACCGCCCTCTAGAAACAACGCTTGAAGCCTCCGTCTATTTTGCATGTCAGTTACGCGCGGGAAATCAATGTTTAATAAAATTTGTATCAGCGGGACGGTAAAAATGCGATATCTTTTGATCCAAATGTCCTATCGACCAAAATCGAGATGCGTTTTAAAGGCAAAGAGTGCAGCTTTCGTATGCAGTTTTTGTATCTTGCCGAGAATAAACTCAGTTTGTATAAAGATGTTAAATAAATTAACGTGGTGCGATTTTTGCCATTTTTTACCATTCTCGTGAGATCAATAAAAGGTTTGTTCCAACTCATGCAGAAACCGTACAGTGTACGGTAACGCTTCTGCGCAATACATAAAATGCGTTCCAACTGAAAATGGACCGTTTTGGCGTTCCAACTCAACTCGTGATCGTTCAATGTACGGTTTCGAAACCGTCATTTCAGTACGCGGGCAAAACCTATTACCGTTTGGACTGACCTGCGCATTAAGCGGCATCAGCAAAAATTCACATTTTAGTTCGCGTCTCGCGTGGCCGTTTTATTAAGTGAGGTTAAGTGTTTCGGTTGTGTTAAGGGTTTAGAAGGGTTTTACCTTCTTCGTTGCACCAATAAGGCCCCCCTCAAAGAATAAATTTTAAAAATAGCTATTTAGTGTTTTATTTGATTTGAAATAGTTATTTCCAGTAAACATTTGCTTAATTTTGTTCAGAAAATTTTTCACCTCATGGTGAAATCTAACACAAATTAGTTCAACTATCTAGAAATAAAAGTAGATTAAAGTTAATTTGGATATATATATATATATATATATATATATATATATATATATATATATATATAATATATATATATATATATATATATAATAAGGCAAGTTGACAATAGCAATTTTTATTATAAAACAGCTAATGGAAAAATTTAAAGTTAAAAGGAAAGACTTTACATAATTTTTATTAAACTTGAGACGGCATATGCCTACAAAAAAATTAAAACCATTAAAGCTACATATTTAATAAAAAAAACAGCACTAGGATATCATACAGTCAGCTTATTCCTAAAATATGTAGTACTAATACCTAAGTTTCATTTGGAAAATTAAAGACATTTCATATAAAACTGTAATAAGTCTGCGTAATCCTAAAATACGAATATTATCTTCTTCCTACCAATACCATATATTCTAGCGGTTTCTACATTAAATTTTTTGGAGACCCATAGTTTAGGCATTTGTTTGTCTCTAGGAAACTCAAAAAAACGACACGTCGAAAAAGTTTTACTTTTTTTATTATTATTGTTTAAACAACCCACCACTGCACAATACATTATGGCAAACAAATAATTATTAGTCTTTTTATAAAGTAGCTACAGGTAGTTGAGAGGAAGTTGCATGCGACAAACAAATTGGGTGATATTACCACAGTAAACTGAATGTTTTCACCACAAGATTTATATAACAATATAATATACAACGACTTTACTACATCAATAAATAAATCATTCACTACATTTTAAAATTTACAGGATAGAAAACTCGATAACACAACAACATAATAAACATGAACATAGCAATTAACTTGCTGTCATTAAATTAGTCTCAGTTGACTTATCTTGTTTGTTTTAGTATCATGGCAAGCGAGGAGGCATCAAGCAAACAAATAGCCAATTCTTCTTCTTTATTTTCTTGGCCTCTGTTTTAAATGAATGGCCCGAACTCAACTCAAACAATCACCAGTGCCACAGAATAAGCGGTGCTTTGTTTAGTGCCAAAATCCGTTCCAACTCGTCTCCTCTTCGCATCGGTAATCAAACGGTGCAAAGTTGGAGCATGCGCATAAAATCGATGCCAAAAAGTTTCGTGACCGTTTCGAAACGTACAAAGTAGCGTGTTGGACCAAACCTAAAATTGATCACTTTCATTGACCAGTTGTCGTAAAATTTCCATTTTTAGAGATCAATCTTTAAAATCTAAGACATGTAATTTCAATTTGGAGTTATGGTAACAAATATGAGGCATTTTTAATGTGAATAAAAAACGCAGAATTTAATGATTTACATTACAAACGATCACGCGTCACGGGAAATGCATTTAAGAAGACTGTTTTGGGTGTAGTCTATTGCACAAGTTTTGTTCTTTTGTAAAACGTACTAGTGTAATTGAAAAAAAAGTTTGAAATGGTTTAGATCGTTTGTTGTGTGAAAGTTTAAATTCAGCGTTTTTTAAGTATATTTCAAATGCCTTATACTTGTTGCCAAAATTCAAAACTAAAATTTCATGTTTTAAATTTTAACGGTTATGCTCCAGTAATCCTTCATAGATGCCAGTCACTAAAAGGGATATATTGTATTGATCTCGTGAGAATCATAAAAAATGGCAAAAATCGCGTCATGTTCATTTATTTAACACCTGTATAAAATCTGAGTTTATTTGCGACAAAATACAAAAATTGTATACGAAAGCTGAACTCTTTACCTTTAAAACGCATCCTGATTTTTGTTAATAGGTCACTTGAATCAAAAGATATCGAATTTTTACTATTGAGCCAATAAAAATTTTATTGATTTCGCGCACGTAACTGACATGCAAAATCTACGGTTGCTTCAAGCGTTATTTAGAGCTTTAGCTTTAGATTCAAGAGAACGGGTCATTCTAGACAAACAATGTTTATAAACACAAAATTTTTGTTTAAAATTATCTCAGCTACATTTTTTATTTAAAACATTTTTTTCTTAAACCTTTTTGCATCTTTCTTGGGGTCCCAAAATTAATATTCTCGGCAAAATTTAACTTGTTCGTATGGTTTTTAGTGGTTTATTGGCATTTTCATCTCTGACGACTGGAGTAACAGCCAATACCCTCATTATTTTCGGTCCTCGGTCGTTCCTCACTTACGCCGAAGACCGATCGGCTGAACGCGTTCGTTTGAATGATTGAAAAATTAAAATACCTACTAAATATTGAATTAAGAATTGCGTGTAATTCAGGAACTTAGCTACACGACTATTGGAATTGGAAAATATTCTATCGGGTCCCAGCGATTGCTTTCGCTTGTGTCGTTAATAGTTAGTAGGTAGTTAAAATCATAAATGACAATAAATATTTATATTCTGATGCAGCACATATTTCTGTATAAATGTATAATTATTTTTGAGTTACACTAAAGAACCTCAACACATATAAACGAATAATTTCTTAAGTAATTAAACTAAACTTTGTTACAAAAATTGCCATGAACAGAGTGTAGTTAACCGATTACGATTAGGCCATACTAGACTCACACACTCTTATCTTTTTTCAAAATGTAACCCACCAATATGCGAGTGCTGCAATTCAGTACCTTACAATACAGCAACCTTAACAGTAATGCGGCCACTATACTACTCGCGAAGTTGATCGAAGTTCAGTGAGTACGATAGTGTAGACAGTTACTTCATTCGACTTCGCTTCGCTTCGTTCTACTTCCGTTATGTGCCGGTTTTTCGCGTCAAAGTCAAAGGGCCCGAAGTTCGAATACGAAGTGTCACACTACATTACTCGACTTCACGAGTATGTAGAAAGTCACCTCGCCTTGATTAACTTCACTTCGACACTTCGTCCGAAGAACTTCGATCAATAGTGTAAAGAGGCGTTTAAAACATATCTTTGAATGTGACGAATTCAAACATTAACAAGCTCTTTATAATATAGATTCAAATTTATAAGTTGTGTTTAGGTCAAACTAGTTAATGTGTTCCATAAGATTTAATTTTTTTTATATAAAATTGTTTACATTTTAGTACTATTTTGTAGAAAAATCTTTTTTGTACCCATGTAATATACCTATACTTGTAAAATTGTACAGATCCGTCGCTAATAACCATTAGGTGGATGTGACTTAGTCTTTAAAATAAAAAAAATTCTTAAGAATCTGTACGGACTTAAATGTTAAAAGATATATATTTAGATAAAAGTAAACGTGATATTCCAATAATTTAGGTAATGTTGAATACACATCTGAAATACCGCAAGCAATGCTCTCGGTTTTCAGTCGATTCAGCTCAATCAATCAATCAAACGATTGAAATGATTCGATCGTATTTGGAGTCGGTCACTGATTCATTCGGTCCTAGTAAAATGAACGATTGGCAGAACACTAGTGTAGACCTTAAACGAGCGGCACAGAACCGCGTATATTGGGTGTAGAAATTACAGGAGACCAAGGCTCAATTTGGACTGCAGTACAATTAGAAGAATAAAATGATCAAAACGACCTCAAAATTCCTTTTAATTATTGTGACTCTGAAGGTATAAGATTACCATTGTATTTATTTATTATTACATAATATTTTCTAATCCAATTTGAAGCATTGGTGTAAGTATATTACTGAAATACCCTACATTGTTCTTGAGATAATCTGCCAATCAAAGATGCAACGTCTGTCATGATATATACTCGTAGTATAAAAGAATATATATTCCATAGTTTTTTTGGATTTGACAAATGATGCCACTTTTGTCTTCTTATAGTCTTGACCCCTTAAGATTGTTAGCAGTGATTATGACAATAATTACCGTCGAGTAAGTTAACACCTGGTCTAAAATCTGATTTGATCTACCGTTGAATCACCCTCTTCTACTATATAGCTCTGTTACCTTGGATAGTCTTTTAGTAACAAAAAATTTAAAAAATTAAAACAGAAATACGTTATCAGCTATCTTCTAAATCAAAGTCTTATTCTATATTATATTTTAGGATTCGAAAGATGCGCCTTTATCGCTGCAAATCTCAATATGTCGACAAATTTGGATATGCTCATTCTCGGCATTTGTAAATTTACTGTGTTTTACAACCAACAGAAACAGAATAACATTGTGGTGCAATTTGGAATGAACAGCAAGGCGCAGTTGGCCCTTAGGACGGTATTTTCCCTAATTCATCAACACGGAAACACCATGAGGGATGGATGGAAACACTTATTTGATCTCTTGTTAGCACTCTACAGCAACGGACTGTTGTCAAAAACGTTTGTAGAGGTAAGATTGGAGAGAAGTATCTTAAGCTGTTTAAAGTATTTAGATTTTTAAAATCTTGAAGTTTGTCACACAATTCCTAAGTTTTTGTATAATTACAAATTATAAGTCTATCACTAAATATTAGAATTTCTAAAACAAGTTTGACTAAAATTTATAAACTTAAAATTTGTGAAAAGAACGTTTTGAATTCGAAAATTAAAATAGGAAATCGGAAAACTTTCTGAATTTCTTAAAAATTCGGAAATAATGGAATAAAGAAAATTGCAATACCTATTTTTCTGTTTTTTTTTGCATAATAATTATAAAATTTAGCTCTGTTCGTAAAATTCCATTATTTTTCAACGTTCCTAATTTTCACAATCTGGAGACTCTTTAGTTGATTGTTTAGAGTTGTCGCTCAACTTTTTATCTTTAGAATTAGATGAATCTTCCACTTCATCTTTAGATGCCTTACTAAAACGAATGTTATACTAATAATCTTGAGCGTTTTCGTCCTAAAAAATATTAATATTAGAATTGTAACTGGTGAGAACAGTCTAACAAATATACTTACAGATATATTGTATTATACAATCTGTACAGATTTTTATGAGAGGGGTAATCAATTTTCATTTAGCTCACTGTCGTGAGAATTATCTGGCACTGATCTCATAAGAATATTTTCATTTCTACTACCCCCAATTCTGTAACATCTATTTACACTAATCTGAGGTAGTTCCATGGCGTGATTGTATAAAGTTGCCTGAAAACAACTTTTAGAACTTATTTTTGTTGTTATAATTTTATATTTACCAATTGTATATGAATTAATTATTTCAAAATTGTATGAAAAAATTATGATAACTTTGTGTTTAGAAATAAGAAAGTATCAAATGACTTAAACTTGTAAGAACTTGAAATCGTAGGCTTCCACGGCCAGAGTCAGAATTATAGTTTATTCGTCTTCCGGGTTTGGACCGTGTCATTTGTGAGTGACCCAAAAGTGGGTTCATCTCGACGTTTCTCTACAATTGTATGTAGCTTCTTCAGGAGAACAAAAAAAAAAGAAGAAAAAAGAAAGAAAGAAGAAAACAAAAGAACAGGAAGATGGGTAGTTAGCAACGGTAACTCAGTTACTCAACGCAACCAGAGGCGAATACTAACTGCCAAGATGGGCATTTGGTCACAGTAACTCAACTACTCAACGCAGCCAGAGGTGAAAACCAAATGCCAGGACAGGGATTCACGTCCAACAGCTCAGAACACTAACGCGTCGAGAGGCGGGGATTCACTCCCCGACGCGTTAGTGTTCTGAGCTGTTGGACGTGAATCCCTGTCCTGGCATTTGGTTTTCACCTCTGGCTGCGTTGAGTAGTTGAGTTACTGTGACCAAATGCCCATCTTGGTAGTTAGTATTCGCCTCTGGTTGCGTTGAGTAACTGAGTTACCGTTGCTAACTACCCATCTTCCTGTTCTTTTGTTTTCTTCTTTCTTTCTTTTTTCTTCTTTTTTTTTGTTCTCCTGAAGAAGCTACATACAATTGTAGCGAAACGTCGAGATGAACCCACTTTTGGGTCACTCACAAATGACACGGTCCAAACCCGGAAGACGAATAAACTATAATTGTAAGAACTTGTACCGCACACATGTACCAAAGGCTTGACGACAACATTTGACAACTTTTGGCGCGAAAACTTGGTTTATATATTGTGTCTTTGACTACACAATATGCACGTTAAAATCACTAAAAGGCAAAAGATTAATTTTCTAACTAAATTTAATTTCGGTGTTGCCTGAAAGCAACGCTATTCAATATAGGTTTAAAATAGTGGTTCCTTGATTTGGAGATTTTTTTTTCAAAATCGAAAAACGATTATTTTTCGTTCTATTGTCACTTGTACATTAAATTGTAACTTATCAATTAACTAATTTTATAATTATATAAAATTTTGGATATTTTGATTGTATATATAAATTTGAAGACAGAAAGACTTTAAGCCCTAAAGTTTAAAAAATTTCCTAGACTCACCTAATTATTTGTGTACCTAACGAGGGCTGGCCGATAGGTATACAAAATGTCAACACTGACCATAATGTATTATTTTGATTTTTGAAATGTTTTATAATTTTTTGTACAGAAAAGCTAAAAAAGATCTTACTAACGAATGCGATAAAGCATGGAAAAAGGTTAAAAAAGACACACTTACAAAAACTATTGAACTACAATTAACTTTGGATAGAGCAAAAGATAACATAGAAGTAATAATAATAGGAGATTGGAATGTAAAAAGGAAAATATTCAAACAGAAGTCTTAACGGTACAGGAAAATACGGAGAAGTGTCAAAAAATGGAGAAAAAATGCTAGAAAAAATGCTAGAATTCTGTACCTATCACTGTTAGGAAACACTTTCTGGGACCAAGTGGTGTAGCAAAGAAATTCAAAAATAAGTGACTAGAGACAAGTTGGCAAAAGTATAACACAAAAAAAAACAAAAAGATAAAGAAATATACAAGAATCCGAAATAGAGCAAAAAAATTAAAACCGCAAAAAAGAAAAGCTGGCTAAATTGACAAAAGACTATACTAGGATTTTATATGATCTATGAATGAAGTCAAATTGAATGGATTAAGTCCACAGTCAAAAGAAACCAACAGCACACACACAAGTCAAATTGAAAGAAAGGCGATAATGAATAATATAGATTAATTAAAAATTAAAACAGTATACATAACTAATAACACAGAGTTCTGGGGTACTATAGGATGTTAAAATGACCGGAGAACGATGGAAAAGAATGGCTGGTGAAATTATATCGCAAGGCATGCCAAACTATTAAGATTCTAGTGGAATGGGAAAACCACCTTACTCCTGCACATAAAAAGGGAGACCAATATCAATGTGAAAATTACAGCTATATTTAAATTTCATAGATAAAAAAATGCAAACAAGCATAGGGTATAATAGAATGGAACCAATACAAGCAGACGTACTAATGTATGCAGACGACATCGTTCTTTTACTAGGCAGTTACAAACAATTGAAGAGACTAACAGATTTGGATAAAAGAGAGGGGAAATATGAAGATGGAAATTCACGAAGAGAAGAACAAGAGAATGATAATAAATAATAAAAACAAAACACAGAATAAAATAATCAAAATCAAAGAAAAAGAATTAGAAATAGTAGAAACTATGATTACCTACGGACCATAATTTCTAATGATGGAAAAATAGACTTAGAAATAGGAAAAGGACCTTAGAAGGATTGCTTAAAAAACCAATATAAATAGAGGCAGAAATGAGACAACAGATAAATCAAGAAACTCTACTAGAAAAAGTTGAGATCAAACAGTTGGGCTGATACAGACATGAAATGAGAAAAAACCAAAACATTAACATATTTAATTAGGAAGATAATGGAAACAAAGAGAACATCGACAAGCAAAAAGGCAGACCAAGGAAAAATGGATAGATAGAATAAACGAAATCGCATAAAGAAGAGGACAGGAGATTGGGGTAATGAGTGCAGATCGGAAAAACTGGAATACATAGACAAGCAACAAGCATTAAAATAAACAATTCGATACTGAAAGGCATGAGGATTCACGCGAAGAAGAAGTTTAAGTAACAGTCTGTGTCACTATTCAGTATAGCCCGTGCCAAGTTTTTCGTTTGATTTCCTTTTTGCTAAAACATCTAAAAATAAAAAATGTTTTTGTTCTCTACTTCTATAAGACCTAGACCTTAGAGAATTTAACAAAAAGTAGTTTGTAAGTTCACCTTTCCATGACTAGATCACAAAAGTGTCATCCAAGTTAGGAAACTAACACAATAGGCAAATGGTACGGGTAGTAACGAACCTGTTCTTTATGTTCCTTTTTACCGTTTTCAGCATCCGATTATATAAACATTTTGTTTCCTTTTTAGGTAGAAGACTTTATTGAACCAAGTGGCAAATTAATTCTAGTCTACAAGGAAGCACCGTCTGCGGCGAAGCAGGATACCGGTTTACTAAGTTCTCTTTACTCATACATGGTTTCCGCAGAAAATTTATCAAAAATACCCACCCCAGAAGAGCAAAACTGTATAGATGCTGCTAAAGAATGTATAAAAGACTGTAATTTAGAGCAAATGATAACAGACTCCAAGTTTCTCCACGAAGAAGCTTTATTTGAACTCGTAAAAACTTTAATAGAATTATCTAGAGGTCCGGATGTACACGAAAGTGTGGCTTATGACTACAATGATAACGTTACCGTGTTCTTTTTGGAGTTATTGATCAAAGTTGTTATACAAAATAGAGATAGAGTGATGACCGTGTGGCAAAATGTACGGGATCATATATACACTTTAGTTATGAATGCATCTGTTTTCGATTTCCAGTTCTTGTTGGAGAGATCTGTTATTGGTAAGTTAAAACATTTTACATTTTTAACAGTTTGAGTTCTGATACAGAATTCATTATAAAATATTTTCAATTCGAGGATTCTTTGTAATACTCCGAATTAACTCCATTTACAGTTTCTTTTATTTTGTTTACATGTATTTTTTACTAACTTTTTATTTGATGTTACTACTAATGAGGTAGATGAGGTCAAACCTTTCAGGACTGACTTGGAGGAATGAGTACTTAAAGTAACTTACACATACCTTTATAATTCAGAATATATGGCTGTCCTCTGTTACACCAATATTCTGGCTCTTCTATGTCCTCCTCCTCTCTAGCACTACAACCCGGGCTGGGCTTTCGCTGACAACAACATACCTCTACTTGCAATGGTCCATCATTAGTTCCTCTGCTTGTTACATATTTAGTGCGCGTAAATCTGCTGCAATATTGTCTCTCCAGTGAAGAGTCTCCACTGCATTCTTGGTCTCTTTAGTGGTCGCTTTCCATTCGAGTTCTCTTCGCAGACCAGCTGTACAGCACGCTGATCTTATCTCTTGACATTGTCAATCTTAGTCCATCTTAATCTTTCTGTCTTTATTATTTTTACTATATCTGATTGGTTATATAATTCTTCCAATTCTCGTTTAGTTCTCACTCTGAGTTGTTGTGAGGTATTATCCTTAATTGATCCATATTTTCCTCTTTTTGCGACTCATTAATAGGTTCTCATTTTGTTTTGTCATCGTCCATGTTTAACATACATACCTTATTATACTCATACTTATTCATTGTCTTTTGTAGCGCAAATCAGCAGAGATTTCCACCTTGTGTTTTGTTGATAATTTCTTGTGTAGTGTTTCTAGTAATTAGAACCTGTACAAAACTACTGATTCATTATCACGTTTTGCCCTATTCTGTCATAGTTCTGTTCTTATTATAGCCATATATTTTCTTTTATCTTTTTGGGCCAAATTACCTTTGCAGCATTTTTAGTTTAATGAAGCTCTACTAATAGTTGTATTGTCCAATATATCCATATCATGGCGAAAGATAGTATAATGCGGGAACCTTCATTTCTAAACAGGAGAGTTTGTTTTTCGTACCATGCTATCCAAAGCCATGTTAAAGAGGACTGGGGATAGGCCATCTACCTATTTGAGGCCACTATTTAATATGAAGAAGGTCGACAGTTTTCCTTCCTTATTGCTCTTCTAGATCCCTCTACAAAAGCTTTTGTTGGATTAATTACTATCTTCGGTATGCTTAGTTCAGCCATGGTTAACCAATTTTTCCTAAACCCACACTGTTAGTTTCCTATTTGATATTTTTTGCATTGTCTCAATCGTTCCAATGGTATTAGGGAAAATACTTTATACCATGTATTAATAAGTAGTATATTTTCCATGGAAGCCGTCTATTGTAAACCGTTCATACTCTGCACGCTTATAATTGTACATCTATTTATTCATGGTAGCCATTCCAGGATTCTGGAACCCTGTACCAGCTAGTACAGGTCTATTGGATAAGTACCATATCTTTTAGAGTCACTTGGTAGTCTCTAAAACGTGTTGTCAGCTGCGATCTAATATCTCGCAGTCATGCAAGATATGGTTGACTGAGCAGAAGGCAGACAGAAAGTCAGATACTCTACCTCCTGAGATATCCGGCCCTATTATATACCGACTTGGCAAGTTTCAACTACCGTATACGTTATTCAGTATGTAGAACAAAGATAACACTTAATTGTTTGAATATGACTGAGGCACAATCCACTAATTTTTAAACAGTGTTGCAAAATTTCTGTTACATAATTCTTTCTAAAACATTAGTCAGATACATGAGTGTAACATAATGTTTAAATCCACTACAGTTCATTGTAGAATGAAAATTAATATTGCCCCAACAAAACTTACATGAAGTAATCATGTAATTGTTATTTTTTAAACGATTATATCATTACTTGATTAATTAACAAAGAACACTGAATTGCGAAATTGATATGCGACAACAGCGTGAGCTAAATAAATAACGCACTTCAATAGACAGACAAATAGTATAAACGGTTTGCTCTCTCTACGATTTCTCCTCAAAAGAATAGGCGGTGCTTATCTGTACAGCAGGTTTAAGGTCTAGTTCTTTGATTTTTAGCTGTAGTGGTAAAAGGTTGAAAACAAATAATTAACATGCCAAGCGTATATTTTCAAGAGGAAAAGATTCAAATGGTGAAATGGTATTATGGAAACCATTCTATTGTAGAAATAATAGTTATTTATTGCTGCTTTTGAAAATCGTCCAATTCCGACAGAAAAAACAGTACGATCAATTATTAAAAACTTTAAGAATTTCGGTTGCATAAATACCTGTACGAAATGTCGTCCAAGGGATCAACCACGATCGAAACAAAAGTTTGTTTAACTGCTGAAGAAACGCCTTGTTCGAGTAGACAAATTGCGGATGAAGTTGGCCTAAAGGAAAGAAATGTAAGGAATATTTTAAAAAGAAATAGATACAATTGCTATAAAGTGCTAACCACCCAAGAACTTTTTCCAGACTTTTTTTTTTAATTTATTAAAGTGTCTCGGCAACTATTGGCCATTGACACTGGTACAAAATTGATTACAATATGTTTACATATGATACAACATCTAATATAATTATTACACTAAGTAGTAAAGGTGACAGTATTTTAAAAAACGAACTGTGGCACTGTACATGTTTGTAGAACCTAGTAGATCACTTAAATTATTTTGAAAGTTGTAGTAGTATCTTTGAGGTTTGTAGTGTACACATTCTAGTAATATGTGTTGGACTGTTAAGGACTCATTACAATGTTCACATCGACGATGGTTTTCCGAAGACATCAGATATCCATGAGTAAGACGAGTGTGACCTATTCTAAGCCTTTTAATAATGATATTGTCTTTTCTGCTCATTTGAGGCATGGTGATGGAGGTAACAGTTGGTTGAATTGTGCGTAGTTTTGTATTTTGCATGTTCCACTGTGTTTGCCAAGTGCTTAGTACGTTGTTTTTGATACTGGCCTTTAGGTCTTGGTAAAGTTGTATGTTTTCCATATTTTCTAAGGAGCGGGCCAATTTTGCTGCATGATCAGCGTTCTCATTTCCATTGATACCAACATGGGATGGTATCCAGATGATAGTTACTGAAACATCATTTCTTGACTGTTGTTGGCAGATACTGTGGATGCGCTGTACAATGGGATGTATGGAGTATACATTTCTGATTGAGTCAATGGCGGAGAGAGAGTCGGTGCATATTGCTAATGATTTATCATTAGCAATAGGAGACGATCATTTTAAACGTATGGAATTTTGTGAAACTATGTTGGAGAAATCGAATGAGAACAATAACTTTTTAAAAAATGTTTTGTTTTCCGATGAATCTTTATTCACAATCTATAAACGTCATAATCCATCTGTCGTCCGCTATTGGTCTAGGGAAAATAAACGTTTGAGTATTGCTGTGAAAACATAATACCCAAAGAAATTAAATGTGTGGACTGGCATTTATAACGATAATATAATTGGTCCATTTTTTATTACGGGAAATCTGAATGGTCGAAAGTATCTAGATTTATTAAGCAATCACATTATTCCAGCAGTTCAAAACCTTGCGGTGAACTTCGAAGATGTTTGGTTTCAACAGGATGGTTGCCCAACACATAATGCAATCGAAGTTACAAATTATTTGGAACAAACAATTCCTGGACAATTAATGTACACACGAGGAACAATAAAATGCCCCCTAGATCACCAGATTTAGCACCTTTTGATTTCTATTTCTGGGGAATGCTAAAATCAAAATTATATCGGCATGAATTCGAACGAGCCACCAATTTAGCAGAAGAAACAGTTGTTCAACTTTGTAGTCAAGTACAATCAAATCAGCTAAATGCAATGAGACTTGCTTTAATTGATAGATTCGGATTTTGTTTAGCGCAAAATGGTGGTTTGTTTGAACATTTAATTGGTTAGAGATTTTTTTAAAAATGCCTTATAATTTTAATTGTTTAGAATAATTTTTTAGTTGGTTTTTTTCTTATAACAATAATATTTATATTTAGTTAATGTTTGTTAAGTTAATTATTGTTTTATTTCCTAGCTACCACAGCTAAAAATCTACAAACATTACATTTAAAACTCGAATATCAGTGTTCGAGTTTTTCTTAACGTTTACCGACGGAAAGTTGGCGATGAAATAATTTTATGCAAAGATCTACGCTCCCAATCAGTGTCCGATAATTACTGAATGCCATCCGGGATGTATCGGTGTATACGCTTCGCACTGTGAAAGAAGACGTTGCTTAAAATTTTTCAACTCGTCAGAGGAATAATACGTTGTTGCCACACATAAATTCCTTAAATCAATGTTCTTTGTTAACTAATTAAGTAATTGATAGAATCGGTTAGAAAATAACAATTACGTGACTACTTTATTTGAGTTTTATGAATATTAATTTTCATCCTACAATGAACTGTAGTGGATTTAAATATTATTTTACACTAATGTATCGGACTAAAATTTTAGAAGGAAAGATGTAACAGAAATATAGCAACACTATTTAAAAGTCATACCTACTCCTTCGAGATGGTGACTGCCTCTCACTTCTATTCAAACAATTAAGTGTTTTCTTTGTTCCACATACTGAATAATGTATACGGTAGTTGAAAACTTGCCGAATCTGTATACACGGCATTCAACTGATGATGTACAACACTTGTTGATTTGCATCTAATACAACCAACCTTTTATTATAATAATTCCTTTGACTTTTTTTTTGTTAATAGTAGTTATTTTTTATAGGGCTATTGCGTATTGCAATCCGTCTGATGAGAAATGAAGAAATGAGTCATATAGTTCTTCAGTCTTTAAGAATGCTACTGCTTTTAAAAAGCAGTACCCTTTCTAGGATATCACGGCAAATATCATTTGGTTTATATGAGCTTCTGAAAACGTCCGCACAGAACATTCACACCAACACCGACTGGACAATTATTTTCACGCTTTTGGAATGTGTTGGAGCAGGAGCTCAACCACCTAAGCCTGTTAGTTCAGGTAAGATTTTCTGGGTATCAAGAATGTGTTTTACTTTTAATGACAATTATGTATATTGTATACCACTTACTCTATACATTATATAGTAATTGTATTGTACTTCTTTTCTATTCATTTTTGAATGTAAAAGAAGAAAAATTTCATATCGATTAGTGGAAGCAAATTCTTAATTATTATATTAATTTAATCAAAAATCTATACTACAATCAAACAGCGCAGTGGTCGTACGGGAGGAAGATAGTGAGAAAAACCAAGTACAAATTCAAAGAGGAGTCAGACAGGGGTGTGGGCTGTCGCCACAATTATTTAATGTGCACTCCCAACTAATACTTCATTAGGCACTATGGGAAAGAACTGAAGGTGTAAGCATTGTAGGGGGCATCATTAATAACATAAGATTTGCAGACGATACCCCAATCATGGCAGAAAATATAGACGATTTACAAATTATTGTAGAAATCATTAACAGAAAAAGCAAAAAGATGGGACTACAAATGAATATAGATAAAACTAAATACATGGTGAAATACATCTCGAAAATTCCTATGGCAACATACATCTGACATTGAAAGGTACATCGTTAGAGAGGATCGACAAGTATAAATACTTTGGAGCAATTATAAACTCGCAGCTTGATCAAGATCAGGAGATAAAAGTCAGAATTGAAATTGAAAAGGATTTATAAAATACAAGTCAATGTTTACAAATAAGAAATTGAGTATGGCTATAAGATTGAGTCTATTGAGTCTATTGAATCTATGAGTATATTGAATCTGAATCTATTGATCTTCTTTTGGATCTATTCAATACCATATATAGAACAGGTATAATACCTAAAGAATGGCTCCAATCAACATTCATACTGCTTCCCAAAAAAGCCAATGCAAAGGAGTGCAATGAACATCGCACCATAGCCCTAATGAGTCATGTCTTGAAATTGTTTTTAAAAGTAATTCACAATAGAATACATAAGAAATTTGATGAAGGCATAAGTAATACACAAATGGGATTTAGGAAAGGACTGGGAACACGACATGCACTGTTTGCATTAAGTGTTCTTTCGCAGAGATTCTTAGATATTAATCAGGAAGTATATGCCTGTTTCATTGATTTTGAGAAGGCATTTGACAGAGTGTAGCATAATCGACTTAAAGAAATTTTATTAAATAAAAACATAGACAGTAGAGACATTAGAATCATCTGTAACCTCTATTGGAATCAAACAGCAAAAGTGAAAGTTGAAAACGAACTGACCAAGGATATCCAGATTCGCCGTGGGGTCCGCCAAGGGTGTATTTCATGGTATTTACAAAAGCACAAAACATCAAAGTTAAGCTAGGACTAGATAATACAGAAATTGAACAAATATCTTTGTACAAATACCTTGGAGCATGGATCACAGAAGATACTGATCAGACAAAAGAAATAAGATGCCGCATTGAAATTGCGCGGTCAACTTTTAATAGAATGAGAAAACTTTTTTGTAATCACGATATCAATATATCGCTCCGGATAAGAATGCTTCGATGTTATATTTTCTCTATCCTTTTGTATGGAGTTGAAGCTTGGGCACTTAAAAACTCCAACATTAAAAACCTAGAAGCATTCGAAATGTGGTGTTACCGACGTATTTTGAAAATATGGATGGATCGCAAAACAAACGAACAAGTTCTCGAACAACTAGGAAAACAATGCGAAGTTTTAAATTCCATAAAAATCAGGAAATTGGAATACTTGGGGCACATAATGAGAGGTGAAAAGTACGAACTACTAAGGAATATAATGCAGGGTAAAATCAAAGGTAGAAGAAGCGTAGGAAGACGTAAAATCTCGTGGCTACGTAATCTCCGTGAATGGTTTGGATGCAGTTCAATTGAACTATTCAGGCGAGTAACCAATAAAATTATAATTGCCAGAATGATTTCCAATCTCCGATAGGAGTGTAACTTGAAGAAGAAATAAGATTGAGGTTTAGGGAAGTGTTTAAATAAGTGATCGCCAACTTTCGTTAGAAAATGACAGAATAAGATGATTAAAAGTAAATGTTCGTTTGTTTATACGTATCTGAAAATGTTTAAAAAAGGATAGTATAAGAAGAACAATCTACATAGTTCGAGACAAAAGTATAACATGGATGCGTACTTAAGCCACTAGTGTTCTCACTAATTATAGATGAAGTAACAACGAAATAAGATATTGAGCCAGTTGACTCCTATAAATACTTAGGCCATGAGATCAGAATAAGTCGAGACAACCAAACAATCGAGCTGAAAAGAAGAATAAACCTCGCTTGGGCTGCATTTGGAAGGATGAAGGATATTTTTAGGTCTAAGATTCCAATGTGTCTGAAAAGAAAAGTATTTAATCAATGTATTTTGCTAGTGATGACCTACGGCGCAGAAACCCTAACGCTCACAAGAACAACAGTGAGTAAACTACAAGTTCCGGAAAGAGCAATGGAGAGAATTATGTTAGGGATTTCTCTACGTGATAGAATACCCAATGCTACTATACGCAAAAGATCAGGAGTAGCAGACGTTATTGAAAGGATAACAACACTAAAGTGGAACTGGGTAGGTCATGTAGCAAGATCAGTTGATGACCGGTGGACAAAAAGAATTTTGGAATGGAGACCCCGAATACAAGCTTACAGAAATGGAGGTCGACCCCCAACGAGATGGACAGATGACATAAAAAGAGTGACTACAAATTGGATTCAGATGGCGCAAAATCGGACTAAGTGGAAAAGCATGCGAGAGTTCAGCAGTGGACGTTAGAGGCTAGTTGATGAACAACGAAATGTAAGAAAAAATAAGAAAATATGCTAGTAAGGAAATTAGAAGATGGTAATGACAACCTCAAAAAAGAAAAATAAGGTTTTTTTCGGAAAACTATTTAATACCTTATGAAGACCGAACTTTGGAAAGAAAGAGATACATAAGAAAGTGAAAACTCAAGTATATCAGAAACCCTCAATAATATATGGAACTGAGTCTTGGGTATTATAAAATAACAACAAAAGAAAAGTTACTACTACGGAAATGAGATTTTACAAAAAACTGAATGGTTCCCAAAACAGTGATACTAAACACCACGGTAATAGCAAATTTAGCTACGAAACTAATAGAAACTATTATAAGTGAGAGGCAACTTGGGCGGTTTTGTCATATACACTGAATCAATGACGAAAGACTAGTAAAAAAGGTATACGACGCCAAAGGTAAAAAAAGGTAAGAAGGGCACAAACATATTAATTTTAATCAATAAAAGGAAGATATCGAGCACAGTTTATTTATTAAATCTTGCCCAAGTACTTTCGCTCCTAGAGCATCTTCAAGGGTATTTCGTCAAATTTGGTCTATCCAACAATATATGGTGAATGCCATAAACATTAGCTGATACATTAACACAACACGACACAAGGATATTTTAATTTTTTTAAAAAGTGACGAAGTTACATATTGGTTGGCATCAGGAGAGAGAATGAATTCTCTTTGAAATTTGTGACACAATTGGTCACACAACTGTTTCTTTTAGGACTATACTGGAATCATTCCATTGAATCCTATATTCATTTTGAATTTAAATTCCATTTGAATGATGTGATGGAATGATTCAAGTATATTCCTAAAAGAAACATGGTAAAAAGAGAAAAATCAAAGAAGCGGCTCTGATTATGCTAAATGAGACCAATTGTGTCGCAAATTCCTCGACAGAATGCAGTAGGATATGGCTACCCATATTAAAAGAGAAAGTTAATAAACGGAAAATACCACTATTAGTAAGTAAGTAAGTAACATATCGAAGATACATCATTTATATTTTTTAAATTACAAACAATACTTACCATGTCGGAGTATTATGAGGTTTATATATATATATATATATATATATATATATATATATATATATATAATATATATATATATATATATATATATAAAGATGAATTACATGCTATGATTTTTTCTGACGGAGAAAATAGCTTCAGAGCACTACTGAAAATAAAAATTTTACAAATTTCTTTTGTCTTTATAAAAAGTAGCTACTTCAGAAATTATGCAAGATGCTAACTTCAATATGGTTCAATAAAAGGACGATATATTCACTTCAACAGTTCAAATATGTTTAGTTCAGAATATTTCTTTTTTACTCGTTAAGCTTTATTGAACGAAATAAAAATCTCAATTTTAAATTTATGTATTTTCGTTTTAGCCGAAGAAACAGAATTGAAAAATAAATCTGATGGTGAAACTTCCGATAACCACGAGGAAGAAGGCACGCTTTCAGATTCAGAAGGAAGAAAGAGTCCGAAAGATAATACCCAGAGATCACAAAGTCCTGTGAGTGTCGTAACTTCGCCTGTTGGAACTCCAAATACAGGTAGATAGTTTATTATAATATAATAATATAAACGTAAAATGAAATTACCATTCCTTTCGAACTTTCTTCGTTAATAACCGTCTAATTTGTATATTCATGGCCATCAAAGTTATTGGCATCTCATTTAGTTTCGTAATTCCATGTTCAAATGCATATCATCAGCACATGATTTGAGCAAACTCAAAAATAATCTATGAACCATACCGAATACTTGAACTATCACCGGTGCCATTCTTTATTTACATAATCCTAATCCAGAAGTACAGAAATCAACAATGTTCCTGAAAAGTAGTAAATCGATCTTTCCAGAGGAGTTCGCTGAATATTTCCTTGGCTTTTTGTATTTCTTGTTTTGAATACGATAACTTTGTTAACTTATCCAATACCAGTATGAATAAAAATGGATTTATTATAGAGATCTAATGTTAAATATTATGTTTATATGGGAATAAACCACAATTGATTGTAATGAAAATTATATTTTATAAGTATTATTTGACGTTTAGATTTCCACTCTGGAAATATTTTTCAAAAAAAAAATTATTCCAAAATAGTGATTATTCCAAAATAGTGAGTTCTTATTATAACCAATAATTGTTTGGCGGTTATTATAACCAATCGAAAGTCAAATAAAAATTATAAAATGTAATTTTCGGTACAATCAATTGTGGCTTTGCTCCATATAAACATAGTATTTAACTTAGATAAACGACAAGAAAACAGCTTCAGAACCTTTCTAAAGATCTAATGATTTCAAATTTTCTCATTCACACATACGTTTAATCTTTCCGTCTTATTCAGAACTCGGTACAAGAATTCCCTCGATAATAATATGCCTCTTCAGTATCATAAATGGCATGTAAATGTTTCTTTCTTTATTAAATTTGTCCACATTTGTAATCTGTTGCAAACGCCAATTACGGTAAGGTAACGTGAGGTGGGAAGTGACTATTTTCATCTTGAGTGTTCCTGCCATACATAACCGAAGGTTGCACAGTCGTTTTGTAAATCTTGATTTTTGTATTCCTGGATATTAACTTAGATTTGATCGTTTTGTTTAGTGCTCCTGCAGCTTTACTACTTTTAGTAATTATTTTTTCTATTTCAGTACCTTCTTCGGCTCTATTTGTAATCGCACTCCAAAGTATTCGAATTGATCCAGTTTTTCAAAACAGTACTCTACTTCCGCTACTTATTCTTAGATTATCTTCGGGCTCTTATTATTATTATTTTCTTTGTTCCCATTTCAAAATATTTTGTAATATTTTCGTTTATACAGAGTCCAAACTTTTTTAATATTGTTTAATAATTAAAGAAAGAAAGTTGTGGACAGTGGATCTTCTTGTCTTAATCCTTTCCTTACCGTAAAAGTCTCTAATAACCTTCTTTCCAGAATCACATTATTTAGCGTTTCTTTTAAGGTCATTTCCACTAACTTAATAATAAGTTTGGTAGGCTTTTTTAACTGATCCATCGCTTCTTATAGTTTTTCTCTATCGATTGAGTCTTATGTCTGCTTAGTCAATAAACAGAATGTGCAAACCTAGGTTTTATTCGAAGCTGTTGTGCAATATTTGCTTCATCCTTCGAATCTGATCAATTGTAGATCTACCTCTTCTAAACTCTCTGGTATTTACCTATTCTTTCAGATTCATATTTTGTTACTCGGTTTCTTATTAATAAAGCCAATATCTTATATGCTACATGTAATAAAGCAACTCCTCTATAATTTTGGCATAGGCATTTTTCCAGCCTTGTGTAATTTCTCATTTTTCCAAATACATTTTATTAGGTTGGTTATTCGTTTGAGTAGTAGCTTCGTTGAATATTTCTGCTGTTTTACCTGTTGTTATTCTTCGGCTGCTTTATTATTTCCTCTATCTCCTGATCTGATGGTTCGTTTATTTCGGCCTTATTATTTCTTTGCTCTGGTCCGGTTTGTGATTGTATTTAATTTATATTTTCCTCTGGGTTTAGTAGTTCTACAATGTGTTCTGCTCATCTTTCTAGTTTTCTTGATAAATCACTTATTCTCGTGCTTTCTTTACTTCTGCAGAAGCATGTATTTCCTAGTATTCTTGTTTTTTTTTCGAGGATTGCCAAAAATATTTGAACAATATCAAAATAGGCTGAGTGTGTACCCCAACTAAACACCCTGGTAGCCAACCTTCTCAACAACCAGCAAATGAAGAGATAAATGTAGCATGATCCCTTTGCCATACCCCTCCGTCTTCAACAATAGTTGCAGATAGGCTAAATAGCCTCTTTTTGTAATATTTTACTAGTATACATAATCGTCAGTCTCCAAAAGAAGCTCAAAATTCATTAACATACTAAGCAAGAATATCTCATACCAATCTCTTTCTACTTCGTATTTAGGCGATACCCTCTTGTTTCTGTCACTTGGTCTTTGTCTCAAAATTGTCCTTTAAGAACTCCTTTGCTCTTGATAAAAGCTAGCAACTTTCTTGAGGAACAATTTCTCCTACCACTTGACGTGTTTGGCCGTGTATGTGCCTTATGCCACTAAAGAATTTTACATTAACAAAAGTCATGTATGGCAAATTCATCTCATTTTCGCGTTTCTGGTATCATTGTTTATTCACCGTACCTATGTTGTAGAGTTGTTTCTTCAGTTGACCTTAGTGTCCAGTTATCACTTCTGTGACCGTCTTGAGCTCTCATTTGACAAGGTATATTAAACTATAACAAAGACCACCTGTCATTTTTGCGATTTTCTTCATATTTTTTTGGCCCCCTTCACATTCAAAGCTTCGTTTTAGCTTTATTTGTTCATACCACTTTTTTGCCGCAGCGAGTCTGCTAGTTCATACCGTTGGACTCCATGGCCCGGCACTCATGTTAGAGACACCATTCCAGTCAGTTTATGCATTGTTCAATGGTCATTTCAAGCTGTATAAATCTGTTGTTAATCACACCTACCTAAAAATTGAAGAACGATTTCTGACTTGGAACTCGTTTTCTTTGATCGTTTCTTTTTAGCGATTAGCAAAAATAACCTAGTTTAGTTATTGTGGTTTATTCCCAAAACATATGGAATTTAGGGTTTTGAAACTTACGTAAGTCAAAAGAATTATTTTTGTCATGCACTATCTATCAAATTTTTACGCAAACACGTTATTTTCTAAACACTAGCTATTTCCTAGTATGTTGTTTATAGGGCATTTACTTATGATTTAATAGTTTTAACTAAACAATAGATATATCCGTACGTTATCCCGTGGAATGCTACTTGGGAAAGGATAGGGAAATCAGTATGTTGTTTATAGGGCATTTACTTATGATCTAATAGTTTTAACTAAACAATAGATATATCCGTACGTTTAATATAAAAGAAATTTCGATTCCAGGTGGATGGATTTTGGTCGGCAACGAAGGTGAGATTCAACCCGTTATGGGCCGCACCGTCCCTCCAACCCAATACGGCCTAGCTTTAGAGAAGAACCTTGGAAGCCATGACCCCAGAAGTATGATGAAGTGCTGCGAAAGTCTTGCGTTTCTAGTACGAGATGTCGCCCACATTACTCCTTACAATTTTGACGTTTGTGTTCATTGCATAAGGACTTTTGTAGAAGCTAGCTTACACGGTTCTAATTTCAAAAGATTGCGAGATTCTAGGTCTAGGAAAAAAACTTTGGATAGGTCTAGAAGTAGAAAAAGTCCAACGAGTAGTCCCGATGAGGAAGATAGTGACGACGAAAACATTCCAAGTGGTTATCACCAAATATCAATACAGTTGTTAGATTTAATGCATACTTTACATACGCGAACGGCTCAGATATTCAAATGGTGGGCTGAAGAAGGTGGGGAAATATCGCAAGAAACTTCTCTTTGGACGCAAGGCTGGTGCCCTCTTTTGCAAGGTATAGCAAGACTGTGCTGTGATACGAGAAGGCCTGTAAGAATGAGTGCTATAACGTACCTGCAGAGAGCGCTGTTAGTCCATGATTTACAAACTTTGAGTGGGTCAGAATGGGAGCAATGTTTCCAAAGAGTACTATTTCCTTTACTTAGTTACCTGTTACAGTCAATAAGTCCTAAAGATGCCATATCCATGGAAGAAACTAGGATAAGGGTAGCAACTGTGTTGTCTAAAGTGTTTCTACATCACTTGACTCCTCTATTAGCACTTCCCAGTTTCTTTAATCTTTGGTTAGTGGTTTTAGACTTTATGGATAAATATATGCATGCAGATAAAAGTGAACTTCTTTACGAAGCCATTCCAGAAAGTTTAAAAAATATGCTTTTGGTGATGGATTCTGCTAAAGTTTTTGACGGTCCCGATGGAAAGAACATTTTGTGGAATGCTACTTGGGAAAGGATAGGGAAATTTCTACCTAACATGAAAGACGACTTATTTAAGGAAATAGAAGACCAAAATAGGAAAAACGAAGAAGTTAGTAACATAGAGATAATAGTGAATAAAGAAGAGAAAGATGTAAATACAGAGAAATTGACTACTAACGATAACCTTATTACGTGTTAGTGTGTAATTGTGAGATATAATGTATTAGGTGTAAATCCTTAGTTGTAATATATCATTTATATATCTCCAAAAGATAATAAGTATATCTAATTTGTACCAATCAAACTGAGAGAATGTTGTATTTTAAAAACGTTATTCCATTTATTGTATATGTTGTATTTATTAAATTTTCTTTTAAAAATGTTTGATTTTCAAATAAAAATATTTTCGTTTTGAGTCGTGCCTTGTTTGAAGATACCACTAGACCATCAAATTTTGCGCAAAATACAGTAAAACTGTAAGAAACTCTACTTCAATAAATATTGTGAAAAATTTGCAATTTACGGTGGGATTTACATAGTCTTTAGTTAAGTTATAATGCAATAATTAGCTGATAAACTGTAAGTCATTTGCAAATATTTATTAAGTCGCAAATCAAATTGGTTTCGATTTACAATTTAAATAACCTTAAAACTTCGTATCGATACGAGGTGTGCAATCCGTGGTAATCAGCAACTGGACAGGTCAGCACCTAGAATTTCAGTCCCACTGTCCAAGATAACCATGGAGTCAAATAATGAGTCAATTTCCATCCCTATTCAAAGCGTTCTATCACCGTTAAGTCATATTCCACAGATTTAGCTCAGCAGCAATTTCCAAAAAAAAAGATCAGGCTATAATTTTCAGCGCAATTGATGGAGTTCGTTTAAAGGATTATCTTATCCTTTTAGGAAGCATAATAGGACCCAAAAATATTTTTTTTGTTCCCGTTTATCAAATAATATAATTTGCATATATCTATCTATAGATAAATTCACATTCAGATGGCAGCGTTACAGAGATAGGCCTGTACTTTCTATATGCCAGAAATAACTACATTGTTGTCAGTTTTTAATCGTACCTACAATCGTACGTTATGGGCCGGCTCCTATAAAAGAATTATAATTTCTGAAATATTTATGAATGTGAAACGGAAATATACTACATTTTTTTAATTATATAATTTTTCTGTTGATATTTTAAAAATAGAAAGTTATATTTCGGAAATCTGGTCTTTTCGGAATTATATCTTCTGTTCAAAATTGTTTACAATTCGTGGAAATAAAATAATTATTTGTATAATCCGTTTTTGATCTTAATGTCCTTTTAATGACACACTTTCTCTACCTGCATTTACAGTTACAGACATTAAAAAATAATTTAGAATTAAAAAAATATACCTAATTATAAATTCAAAATTATTGTCTAATGCCAGCAATTATAAATTCAGGTAAATACTTGAGAGTCATTAAAAGAATTTTCAGTTGATATCAGACGTTTGTGTCGTGTCAGTGTCAAAATGGCCGCGACTGTAATAAAATTCAAAAACGGTAATTTGTTAAATAGTGAATGCAAAAAAATAGTGTTAAATGTTTTTAACTATTTATCAAACAGTAATAATGATAAAAGTGTATCAACAATAGTGCGGGAAGTTTCTGCTATGACTGGAGTCTCTGAGCGAACGATATTCCGATATAGAAGTAAAAGTAAAAATGGTCCACTCGTAACTCCTATAAGAAAAAAAAAGAACCGGTTATTTGAATAGTCGTGAGAATAGATATGATGAAGCAACTCGGTCTAGAATAAGACAAGTAGTGCACGGTTTTTTTATGGACAATATTCCTCCAACCCTTGACGTAGTACTAGAAAAAATTAAGCAAATGAAGAAAAATCTTCCGAATTTTTCCAAGAGTACGTTGAGAAGACTATTGCACGACATGGGTTTTATATATGGCAAACAAGGTAGAAATTCAATATTAATAGAAAAACAAGAAATAGTCGCTTGGAGGCGTCACTATCTCCGGGAAATAAAGAAACTGAGGAACGAAGGAGCCAATATCATTTATATGGACGAATCATGGGTTAATACTGGAATAACCAATGGGCAAGTATGGCAAGATACAACAATAAAAAATAGCCGACAGGCTTTCGTAAATGGACTTACCACAGGTTTAAAAACTCCGACCGGAAAAGGACCAAGATTTGTTTTAGTCCATGCAGGAAACAGACGGATTTGTTGAAGGTGCTGACATCACTTTTCTTGCCAAAAAAGGTGCTGAACATTACCATGAAGAGATGGACGGAGATCTATTTGAAAAATGGTTGAAGAGATGTTAATACCGAATCTCCCAAAAAATAAAAAGAATGTCATTATCTTGGACAATGCATCTTATCACTCTAGGAAATTAAATTTTTCCAAACAATATTGGGTGAAACGTCAAATTAAGGAGTGGCTCTATGAAAAGGACATTTATTTTGAAGAAGATTACTTAAAAAATGAACTTCTGGAAACTGCTAATGTATTTAAAAATATTTATGACAAATACAAAATTGATTGTATTGGTGAAAAATACAGGAATCACAGTGACGAACAATGCCGCGTAGATGTACATATCTTAAGACTTCCGTCTTATCACTGTGAACTGAACCCAATAGAAATGGTGTGGAGTGAAGAGAAACGGTACGTGTCCTCTAAGAATTCAAGTTTCAAACAAAACGACGTTAAAACATTGATTTATGAAGGTTATGATAAAGTACAGAACAATGGACATTGGAAAAATTACGTCAACCATGTTATAAAATTGGAGAATAATTTTTGGACAGTAGACAACATTCAAGATGACATTGAACCTATTGGAATTTTATTAAACGATGACTCTGAAGATGAACTAGATTATGAAAATAAAGATGATTGAAAATTGTTTTTCAGGGGTATTCTTTTCTCAGTAAAGGTAATAAAATATTTAGTTGATCTGGTTGAAATGTAGCACACTTAAATAACTCATTAGTCGACATTATTTCAAGTAGTTATATTAGACGTCATTATGCAAAAAATAAAGTTATGAACATTTAATAAATTAGTGCACAATTGAGGCCCCTAGAACACAAGGGGTGTAAGTGCCAAAAACAAAGTTTTGAAAAATCTTTGTTCAAAGTTCGATATAAATTTAAAAACCTAGGTAGCACTTTTTCAGTTTTCAGCATGTTTTCAATGACATGTAATTTTTGATGGTGTTATTGTTGTTAATGTAGAAAGTTTGAAGCCAAAAGTACGTGCCTGTTGTTAGATATCAGTTGCTAAGTGATAAGCAACTGCATTTACACCCTTGTGTTCTAGTGGCCTCAATTAGGGTTTTTTTGCAATTATCTCAGTCATTTGTTTATGTATTTTAATTTACAAACTAAAAAATTAAAAAACTTTTTAAGATCTGCAACATTTATTTGAAACATTTTTCCCTAAAATGCACGAGGAACAAAATAGACAAAAAAAATGATTTTTTCCAAACTTCATCTTTCTTTAAAAAATAAACAAAGCAAAATTGGCTGTAATTCTTCAAGGAATTATCATCAGTTATCCCTTATCTACCGTTTAGAACATTAAAAAACCTGTAGAATATTTTTCATATTTTTTTCCCTATTAACTGCGGTATTATGTATAAAAGCATTTTAGGATTTATTACCATTTATTTCATTCACGAATTTTCTATTAACAACTTTAGCTTACCTAAACATATCTTAGTTTACCGTGAGTTTGGCCCTGCTTATTTTACAAAAGTAGCAAAACTTACAATGGCAGTAGAATTGGCAACGCTGTTATCCTATATCCGTACACTGCCATCTGAACGTGACTTTATCTATAGTACCCGAATGTTAGAGGATGTATTAATTCCCACGGTTCAATGGAGGTTCAAGATCAAATTATAAAGGTACGTCGACCTATAACACCAGCTGAGACTTATATGATTTCACCGATTTCTTTTCTTAGGATGTTTCAGAAGCCAAGTCTATGTCAGTTCATATGAGTTTGTCGTACCTGATTCGTTTACAGTAAATTACGAAAATACTTAATACAGAATCTTCAGTTCTCAGGATAGTCTAATCTGCTTTAAATGCAAAGCTTCAGAATATATCGTTAGCCAGTGTCTTACAAATCTCAGGAATGCTCCAATTGTAAGCTCACCTGCAAATCTTCATAACCAAGAAATTATCTATAGTCCTAGTTATAAGAACACTTTCAATTAACCTCATTCGGAGTACCCTTTTTACAAACTTCAGGAGCAATATCTTCTATCCTATCAGCACCTCTCCCATTAGATAAAATTGCAGAAAACTCTGATAAAACAGATACATTACCACATATTTCTGAAATAACTGTCAGTCAATCTTACAAAATAAAACTTCAAGCTCGACTTCTGTCACTACTTATGAATTTGCTCCAGTACTTCCAAAGGTAATAAAACGACAGAATCTAAATAAAAACTGATAATACCCCAAAAAACACAGCTTTGGTGAGATCATTCCTCCTACAGATTCAGAAATTAATTACAAAATCTGTTTACAAAACCCAAATCTTCTAAATTAAAAAATTCGCTCTCACCTAAATATCCATCTATACGAAAATCTTTTGAAAATTGTATTGCTAATCATATACCATCTTTCGTTTTAAAATACCATCAATTGTCCTTGATTGATAATGTCTTAATGCTCGCCTGACACTATTAACGTCGTCAAAGAATTTACGACTGATATGGTTGCTTTGATGGAGAGACGGAGAGGCAAATGTTGGGTGTATCTCTTAGAGATAGAAAACGTAACCAGTGGATCAGAACCAGAACAAAGACAGTAGACGCGATAGAACAAGCAGCAAAACTGAAATGGAAATGGGCTGGACACAATGAACGTCTCCAAGACGGTCGATGGAACAATGCCATCGGAAAGTGGCGTCCATACGATGCAAAGAGATCAAGAGGCAGACCACAGATGAGGTGGAAAGATGACATCAGGAAACAAGGAGGTCCCACATGGCAGAGAACAGCTCAAGATAGGGAAAGATGGAGAACTGGGGGAGACCTATATCCAACAATGGAAGGATAGAGAATAGGTTCAAAAAAAAATGGTTGCTTTACTCCATCTTTTAAAATGCAATATGCAAATGATAGATAAACAAAAACAAAATTTACAAAACTTCAAAAGAAACTACTCAATCATTTAGGGAAAGATATATCTGATTTAGACAGTGACTTTTCTCTAGACAATCCTTCAGTATCCT